TATCTAGGTATTTATTTAGAAATGTGTTTAATTTTTATATTTTATTATTAATCGACATTCAAGTGGTTAAGTTCCTATTGATAGTTAAATAAAATATGTACCTGTGTGCTTATTGTTGACCTAGGCTGACATGCTCCAAATAAAAATTTTGCCATGGTTTCATAGGCGAACCAATTTGGTTTGTAAACGTCTTCGGCACTTGAGCCTGTTTTCATACTACCCTTGACTTTACTCAACAGTGGTCTAAAGGTAGACATGAGTGACTCCTTTTTCTTCTTTAGCTCTTGTACTGTGCATTGAAGGCTGAAAGACTTTTGAATATTTGACCACGCATCGGAGACTGCATTTCGGTCTCTGTGTTTTAAATGTTTTGCATTCCAAATTACCGATTCTTGTTCGTATAGTCTTAAAAATTCAAGTACGGAATCATTTGACCACTCCATATTATTATTTAATTTAACAATGTGAAGTACTAAAATGAGTTGTTCCTTACACACTGAAAAACTGATGACTGATATTAAATACCACGGTCACAAATTCAAAATATGGAAACATGAACGTAGGTAATAATATTTTTCTAAAAATAACTGGATTATTCTGATCATTATAAATAAAATTACTTATTAAAATTAAAATTAAATAAACTCCGCATTCACTCACAAAAACAAACAATAAATCTAATTTAATTTAATTTATGAAACTAAAATAGACAATGAAGAACTTGTGATATTAATTAAATACAAATATTAATTATTATATAACCACAAAAATTGATTTTGAATACCTACCTATATTTTAATTTAAAAAAACGTAAGTATTGGTGCAGAGAGGGTATCATATAAAGTATATAGTACCTACGTAGATTTCTATAGAAAAATGCTAATCTATCAACTATCGATCTCAAATGTGTGCATATAAACATTGCCAATTTTTTAAAAAAATATAACATTGTACATTAAAAAAATTATTATATTATTAATAATACCTATAAGCTTTGGCGCCACTTTTACTGCTGTTTTTCCTGGTCAACACGAACCGGTCGTGGGATCAGTATTACAAGTATATTGGCCGATCCTTTGACTTGTGTCACATTTACCGACAATCGCCGGGAACGACACCAGTGACAAATAATTGTACAAGTATACCGATCCGACGGCATGGCAAGTAACCACCAGTACCAAATATTGGCCAAGTACACCAGTCGTGGGAATGCGGCTTAAGAACAATAATTTATTATCCAAATATGAAACATCGTGTGCTATATATAGACGCAAACGATTAATGTTGACGTGTACGAAAAAAACGTGTGTACAGGATGTGACCATCTTTTATAAAATCTAGGTTTATTAGGAGATTTCAAATAATAATATTATGGTATGTACAAAAAGAATAATGTAATATATTTAAGAACATGATATATTGTGTGGTACATAATATATTTTCATTCGTTCGTTCGCATTTTCCTTTGTCTCGAACCACTGCTATAATATCGCGGCGGCCAAGCATATCCCATTAAGGTAGGTCCTATTTAATGCGCGATTGAGGTCGATTTGTCCAGGTGCTATCACATGAAATCATATTCATCAAAACGCTGAGCTCATTTTAAGAAAATATAGTGACCCACTATTTGGTGGTGCTTGGATTACATAATTGCCGTCCAATGATCCAATACAGTTTGGAAAGTTCCAACTTTTCCAAAACTCATCCGCGATTTCTCTCCATTTTTTTCAGGTGGGTATTGGCATTACTTCCGGCATTCAACTTTTGACTATAGCTTTGCAAGTTTTTGTCACTATTTCATATACTGTCGAATGCCCCAAACGATAACTAAATGAGATTGCGTCAAACGAATCACCCATTGCTAAAAATCTGAAATATTAGTAGTTATTAATATATTATAAAATAATAATAATAGTATAATAATTAACTAGCTGATCCCGTGCACTTCGTTGCCCTTAAAAATGTGTGATTGTTTAAATCTTTTTGGATGTAACTCGCAGCAGTAAGTGCAACTCAGCCACCCTGGTAGGCAGTCCGACTACGTCGCGCGTCGGATCGCGGACATTGTGAGATAATACATTAAGTAATACATTTCTCGTAAAACGTAACTTTTAATGCCATAGACATATATATTGATAAAAATAATAAATAATACTAATCAACAAACATGCCCGATTAACCAATAGCAACCATATATAATACACTATTATTATTTTATTTTTTATATATTAGATTATTTACCAATAGCAACCATTTATAAACAAATATTTCTACCGTAAATTATTAAAATCCATGTTTGAGCACTTCTATTATTTTTTTCTGGACAACCCTTATCACTTAGGGGTATGAAAAATAGATGTTAGCCGATTCCCATACCTACTGAATATGCACAAAAAATTTCATCAAAATCTGTCAAGCCATTTCGGAGGAGTATGGCAATGAAAACTGTGACACGAGAATTTTATATATTAGATATTATATTTAATCATATACCTATATACGATGAAAAACAGTTCTGAACGGAGATGACAAGCTTTGGATTTTTATTTTATTACATATTATATAATAAATAATTTGTTATAATTGTGACGATACTTCGACGAACATTAAAAAAATTCAAACTTTAAACGAACATTTATTGATACTATTATATTAGGTACACTTAACTTTTAATGTAACTACCAATTAGTAATTGTATAAAATATACCAAAAGAAAAAACTTATGAAACTTACTTTTTAAACAGAAAATTTCAACTGTCTATAAATAGCTCAAAAAAAGTAAAAATCGTTCAAAAATATATAGATGATGAAAATACAAAATGGCTCTTCAGTTTTTAGTTTTTGAGTAACAGCAAAATTAAAAAAAAAGGTTGTCAGAAACTGGCTTTGAGTAATAATTGGGGTTTTTGAAATTGGCATTTGAAAACTACTGCCAATTTTTTGCTGCCTTAAAGTACAATACATTCACTTTGCTACTCAAAACCACAGTTGATTTTAGATTCTGAGCGGAGCATTGAATGTATTAATTTTACAATGATGTGATTTTTACGTATTTTGTCAATATTTGAACTTTAAATGCTTATAAAAAAAAATTGTGACTACGGATTTTCGTATACGGTACTACGGTACTTCACCGATCGGTATCGCCAACCGCGGTTTAGTTGTACGATTGCAGTTTGTGACTAGTACTTGCATTGTAATTTGCAATTTATTCTCAATTTGCAACGGTTATTCTCATAAGTATCACCAGCTGATTCACGTCTGAGTCAACCGCCGACCGTTGTAGCTGTATTTAACCTGTGACTTCCGACTGTTCTGAGTATGTTATGATATATTTTTCATAAATTATTAATATTATTATTATGTTTGGATACTGTAGTGTTCATATTAATTGAAAAAGTACTGTCCCAACAAATTCCTAGGATACAGTTTTCTAAACATTTGTCAACATTTTCGAGTATGAAATACTTAAAGAACAAATATCGGTCAAGAATATTACAGACAGTAATTTGGATTTAAGTTTACGAGCAGCTGTTTCTAATTATTTACCAGAATTTTCAAAACTTGCAGGAAACCAATGCCAGTTATCACATTAATAAATTTTCTAAAATTTTTTTTACTATTTCTCGTGTATTATCAATATATTACATTATTATTATTATTATTATCATCATGAAGAAACAATAAATATTTATTCTTTGGAGCTTTTTTTTTTTTTTGCTCATAAAACTAATCCATCACATCCACTAATAAACTATATTAACCTTCGTCGTAAAGGTTTTTTTCTGTCATATGAGCATAAATCTAAAAAGAAATTTCCTATTGGAAATTATAACTGATAAGCAGCGATACACGTGTTATATTATATAAACGTCAACAAATATATTGTAGACCTTAAGTGGGTTTTTATGAGTTTAAGCTTACTAAAAGTTCTCTCATTTGTAGTAACACTGACTGGAGCAGTAAGAGCTAGATCACAAAATGTTTTTGCTAATGGCAAAATATGTTTCATCTATTCACATTTTTTAAATGTATTAGCAGTTGTCAAATCAGACTGAATTGCAATACTTCTCAAAATTTCCAATTCAGCTTGAACTGCTTCTGCATCTTTGCATTTTGCCAAAGAACCATTAGGTGGAAACAATAACAATGCATTTTTAACATTTTCAATAGAAATATCTTCGTTCTTAAAAGGGACTGAAAATAATTTATACAACGGCAAAATTATGTCAAGATCCCGGGTTTTAATGCCTATCGGCTACAACCGCGGACCTTATGTTAGCACTGGGTGCTAGTCAAGACTCAAGAGCCGCGGAGGGTCACGACCGACGTGCGGCAGTTTAACCCGCCGACCGCAGGCCGCGCGTCGTCTAAGGACCACGAGCACCGGACGCGCACGGAGGAATACCCCGGAGCGCCCGTACCATCCGGCTAGGGCATACAGGTGCCTTTCGCCACCCTGGTGAGGCCGCAATCTATCCACTTTGCTTTCCGTATTTGGTCACGGACAACCTTCGCTGCATATAGCTCCAACGATAAGCTGGGTGAGCGCTAAGGAGGACCGTGCTTTCCCGGCCGACTGTCGCCGTACGAGTCCGCCCGGTCCAGTCACTCGGCCGCCTTCCCCTGGCCAAGCGTGTGGCCTATCACCACATAGTATGCTCCTGGAAACTGCCACTTCGAAACCAAACCGCCGTCGGTCGAGGCAGTGTCCACCACGACCGACGTGTGAGGGGCTCGTTGTTAATCTCTCAACACCGAGGGGCCCCCTCACATCCCGAAGCACCATTCTCGCCTCCCGTCAGGTAAGGCACATCAATGGTCGGATGCGTGGACGAAGCTTCGTCGGCGAGTTGCCTCAGCTTATGGTCCTCCCGAGATTTGGGCCGTGTACCACAGGCTCACGGTGGGCCCAAAATTATGTCAGTACATTTTTTTAAATTGTCTTTAGATAAATTAATAAAAGTAATAAAAGTAGATAGAACCCACTTGAATTCTTTTCAATAAAACGTGTGCATGTTGAATTCTACCTGAGTTTTAGAGTTTTTGTCTAGCCAAGTAGGTGGCTTTTTATGACGATGGTGTATTTTAAAATCATTTTCTGGATTTATTCCTAAAGTTGTTGAAAATGATATAGCACTGTCAATTAAATTATTCATTGAGTTTGAATTTGAGTTAATTTCTTCTAAAACTTGAATAGTTGTATCTATTAAAGTAGCAGCTTCAACTAAAGATAAATATTTTGTTTCAAGAGTTTCTGTAAGAGCTTTTAATTTATACATAATATTTTTCATAAATATTAATGACACTATAAAATCAAAGGAGTGTAGCTTTTTGTTAAAACCGTGAGCTTTGGTGTTGTCAATCTATCATAAGAATCTTGATGTGAACTAATATAATGCAAATTATCACAAATCGCTTCAAATGAACACCAAACGGCTTCTATAGACTCTGCCCTAGCTGTCCATCTAGTTTCAGACAGGTTTCTCAGCTGTAATACATTATCCAAGTCGCTCATTTCTTTACACAAAATGCTGTATCGTTTATTACTAGCTGAAAAGAAAACGTAGAAATTTTCTAACTTGTCAATCATATTTGAAATTATCAAACTAGAATTACATCCGTGCTCTATAAAAGTGTTTATTCTGTGTGCTTGGCATGAAATGTAAAGGACATTATGTCCAACTAATTCTGAAACTTTAGCTTGAGTTCCATTTAATGAGCCAGACATATTGTTGGCAAGGTCATAGGATTGAAAAGCTAAATTATCTGTACACAGAGAGTTCTTTGTCAAAATATCAATAGTTTCTGTCGCAGTTCCTAGACCTGTCTTGTTTTTTCCTTCTGCAACTTCTAATAGTCTTTCAACTGCTTGTCCTTTGCTATCAACATATCGTACACAAATTGCCAAACAATCTTTGTGGGAAATGTCTGGTGTAGTATCAGCCATAACTGAATAAAAAGGTGCCTCTTTGACATCATTTATAATTAATCTTTGCGCCTCATTACTTAACATTTCAACATTTCGACAATAAGTAAATTCACTTTAATGGTAAAGCTGACAACACAAGATTGGTTCTGCTGAACGAAAATGTGGTAAGTATGTAACTATATAATATGCGTGGGTTAGAGAGAAAAAAATCAGTACTACTCTGACATACATTTAATAGTTATTCATATATATGACGATTAAACTTTTAAATTACATATTTAATGTAGAATGGTGGGGTTAATTTGATTTTTTTTTTACTGTTTTATTACAATTTTAGTTTTTATTTTACGTTGCGGACAACTGTGATACATACATTTCTTAATGTGGTATCAAAGTAACCCCACTTTATCAAAAAAAATTAATTAATTGTAATGTTACCCTGTTGAATAAAAATATAAGTGTTTCAAAGTATTTTACATAATATTAACTATGTACATATTTATTTGTACCTACCTACGATTGAATATTGCTTAGCATCCAATTCGTAACTAAGAGAAATGTTATGACATTGTAACTATACAAATTAATAACAATATCACATTTTGTAATCGAGGAATTCAGTACACTCTTCAACACTCATAATTTTTAATTAAGAAGATATTTAAGCAGATTTTTAACTACTATGTGAGTACATGTTGAGATATTATAATAATATCATAACGTATTTGTGTATTTTATTAATATTTAATATTACACTTTAGACAATCCTAATGGATCATTCACAAAATTTAAATCGTGATCAACACTTTAACTCAACAGAACGCGATAATGCGGATATTTTACTGCTGGAAGCTTATTTAAAACAAACAGAGGGACAGAAAAATATATTGGAAGCAAAGGTGGCCAAGCATGACCAGGTGAAAACAGAAATGTGTGATTTGCAAATTAAGTTGGATAATCTCCAACGAACGATAGAAGATAAAAAGATACTTCACCAACAGTCTTATGATGAAGTCAATCAAGAATTAGAAGCTACATCATCGAAGTACAGCCAAACATTGAGTACGGTAGAAGAGTTGGAACAAGATAACCACGAGTTGGAGTGCAGTATAAAATCTCAATCGTGTAAGGAATCACAGATGGTTGAAAAAATCAACAAGCAGGAAATTTTGAAGAAAAAAACTATTGAATGCAATAATAATATTTGGGATCAAATCAATAAAGAAAAGGTAATTTTTATTAAATTATTTGGGAATATATAGCGAAGGGTAGGCTGTATCTCGTATACATGCATGTATAAGAGATATAATTTTATCTTGTATCTGGATACCACGGACTAAGATAATATGATAATACAATTAACTGGTATACAGGAAGATTTCACATTTTAGTGTCCACCTTGTGTGATTGGGAATATGAAGATAACAGCGCCTAATATAAATTTATCTGGTAAAATTATAATAAATATTATGTAACATTTTCAATTGTTAATTGATGTATTTTCACATAAACACACTATAAACTATTTTGTTTAAACTAACTTTTATAAAAGTTTATGAAAATATTAGTCGATTTGTCACTGATACGTAATCATATATTTCCTTCAAAATTAGGGGCATTATACATGTGGAATACTTAATTTTTACACCCCATAACGTTTTGATACCAACTCATAATCCGGGCTGGATACTTTTATCTTGTAGCACCTAATATTATATTCTTATATACAATCCTCGCTAATACGCTAAAACTTGTTACCACAATTTTGTAATCTCCATAATGAACCACTGTATATAAACATATGTGCTTCTAAATACACCAATATAATATCGATGTACCTATTTTCTTCTGCAATGTAGGAATGTGTGAAGTCACTGCAACGGCAACAAGATGACTTGGAATCTGCGATTTGTTGCAAAACCACCGAAGCACAAAAATTACGAGGCGCGTTGACCGATAAAGAGGCGATGGTTCAGTGCAAGGGAAACCAGCTTACCGAACTGCAGCGGCTAAATGCTACCAGTGACAGGTGCCTGCAGGAACTAACCACCGAGTTTAGGGAACGGGAAGCGGAACTGGAGGCGCATAGGAAAGCGGCACCTGAGAAGTTGGCTAGGGGTGACCAGTGTTTGGACATGGTCCGCCGGGAACTGGCGGATGCGTGCGCCGCGGCAGCCGGCTGGAAGACCAAGAGCCAAAACGCGGCCAACGTGCACTGTGAACTGAAAGCAACCCAAAAATCGGAACAGTGTCGCGCGAAAGCTATCCTCGTGGAGCTGGGTGAAGAACGGTGCCGGCTGGCTGAACAGCTGACGGAAACGCTACTTCAGCTCAAGTGTGCGGTGGCTGAAAACTGCCAGCTTACGGCCGACGCCAAAGTTTTGGCCGAGCGATTGGCTTGTCTGTTGGCTGAGATAGATCGACTGACGAAGCACAAGTTCTCTGATCGCCTCTCGCCTATGGCACAGTGCACGGGTTTTGAAACCCAGGACAAAAAAACTGCCAGGAAATAGAATACATTGGAGTCGGTCGAAAATGAGGTAGAACGACTGAAGTGGGCGTGTGAGGACCGCGAACGGGCAATCAGGGACGCCAAAGGAAAGCTCGGTGACTGCTGTACAACAAGCGCGAGAACCGACCGTCGTTATGAGTGCTGATTTACAGATAATCCAAAATTGTCTGAATGTATTGCACGTACCTTCATGGTTAGCGTCAGTTATTTAATGGCCCATTAACCACCAACAAATAAATTGATTAAATTGCGAAATAATTCTGTTGAATATATATACTCGTTGTATCCATTTATACTAATCAAATAATAATATTATTTAATACATACAAATATCGTGTCACAGCTTTTGTGATCGACCGATTTTAATGAATTTTTTTTTGGATAAATGTTAGGTATGAGAATAAGTTGTCAATTCTTTGAGTATCGTAAAGTATTTTAGGTCCAACCCGGGGAAGTGCTTAAACGGGGATTTTGAGATTTACAGTTTACATTTTTGTTTATAAATGGTTGCTATTGGTTATAAGAAAAATAATTATTAGACTTTAGTATTTATTATTTGGTTGCTATTGTTTAATCGGGCAGATCAGGTGCAAGCATGCATCAAATATGTGTTTTTTTTTATTTTTTATTTTTGTGTCTGTGTACAACATAAGTAGTTGAAATATAGCTTCCATTTTCAACTTCAGTATTTTGTTCGGTGGGAAAGTTAATCTATTTGGTGCATTCGGGAGGTCACTTTTTAAAATTCCCAATAGTTCTCAAAAGCTCCAGGAAAAACAATCTAAAAATGTTCATGTATCGCTGTATCCTGCAGTCATTCGTTTTAGAATTACAACAAAATAAGAAAAAGTCGCTATACACCTAAGGTATGTACCTAAGGTAATTTGTTTAAGAGTTGCACCAAAAACTAAAATCGATTTTTTCGAAAACAGAATTTGCGTAAAAATTCCGGTGTTTCCTTAATTTTTCTTTTGTTTTTCACGGCTCGTGTGAAATCTACTGGAATTTTACTTTTAACCCCCAAGTACCAACTAGATTCACTTTCCTATCAGAAAAGATACCATTGAAGAAAATCCAAGCACTTTTACTGTCCCAAAAGGTGATAAAAACATTTTATTAGTATAATGGTATATTAAAATATATTATTAATTATAATGTATTATATAAGTGTACACACATAAAAAAAGTATTAAAATCAAAAATATTTATATATAAAAAAAATATAATTAAAAGTACCTAGTGTTATATAAAAAAAAAATATAAATAAAAGTAGTGTTTTATAAACAAAATTGTAAACGTCTCGAATGTTGTTTTGCAAAGAAATCTATTACTTCTTCTGGTTTTATATCAATATGATGATGAATATTTAATAATGATAACCCATTCAAACGATTTTTTCCCAAGTCCCATTGTCGTTCTCAAATATGATTTGATTCTTTTTAAGCTAGAAAAATATCTCTCACTTGTTGATGTCGTTACATTTAATACGGCAAGAATAAGTAATAGTTGTCGTATGTTTGGGAAATATCCACCTTCAGTCTCTTTAAATGCTTCCAAAGCCGTGCTGATTTTTGATTTTTTTTTCTGGTTGTTTAGCCCAATGTAACTGCCACAACATGATTTCAGCTATAAAAATGCAATAGAAATTATTTCGTTAACATAATAGGTACCTAGATATATTTATTAATTTACCTATTCGTTAAGTGTTCCTGGTAAATCTGATTCATAGAAAGATGCACCTTTTAAAATATCCTCTTCAGATAGAGCATTTAAGTAATTTGGTATAAGTTGTTGTATTTTAAACACTATATTATTTTGATTGTCCAAAAACATAGTTTGAATAGACGTTATAAAATTATCCAAAACGGTGAAATAAACTGTAATTTTAAAATATTCTTCAGTACTTGAAGTAGTTAAATTTGATCGGTGAGCTTGACTTTTACATGTCCGTGGAATTTTAACATTAATATTTAACACTCCTGCTTTAGACACAGCTCGATTAAAAATATCAGTAAATTTTGTATCTTCTCTGTTATTTTTAAGAGCAACCAACACAAGATCTATCATTTCAATACACTTTGTTAAATCTAAATCTGGATTTTGTAGCTGACGAGATATTGGCAAAGTTATTGACAGTATTTCGACCGCTACTTCCAAAGACAAAATAAATTCAAAATTTAATACTGATTGAAGAAGTCCATTGAATTTTGAAAGTATATTTCCATCTGTATATCTTCCAAGAATATTATAATAGGCAAAAGCATATCCGAAAATCTAAGAATCGCCTCATGAGATTCAACCCATCGCGTTTCCCATAGTTTTATTAAAATAATAGATTTTGATGTCGGTAAATGTTCAGTGATTACTTTTTTAAACAAATCAACTCTTTTCGGGGAATCACGTACAAAATTGCATACTTCTTTAACGGTCGAAAATAATTTTTTTATGGGTAGACATTGCAAGCTTTTAATAATGTTAAATTTAACCGATGTGATGCACAATGTGTATAAGACGCTTTTGGTTATAAATTAAGAATTCTAGTTTGTACTCCTTTATATTTCCCCGACATATT